CAATAGTGACGCCGGCTGACCGCCTGCTTTTGTGGTTGCTACCTGCAATTAGTATGTATATATATATATATATCATACAAACATAGCAGAGACTAGTCGAGTAAACTAGAAATGCATTCTCCTGTCCGTATTGGATGTTTAGAACTCGCAGGTGACCCGAAATACGCCCCCGAAGCGCAAACGCCCAGCTGTCCCGAACTTAGAACTGCCAAGCCCGTCAAGCCCTGCGAGCGACAACGAGAATGTGGGTATTTGCTGTATGTGCTATCACACATGGCTGAGGGTCCTTTTTGCGAAAATATATTAACCTGTCCAGATTGCCATGCAATATATATGTCGGGGGCTTGTCTTCCATTGTTGTGGCAGCAAAGCATGAGTTGATTCGATCGGTGGCTTTGCAGCGGTGGATATGCCTCGTGTTTCGTCAATTTCCCTGTGACAAGAAAAGTTTGGGGTCGCATATCTGTTTAGCTGCATCAAATGTGATTGTCTCATAGGTAATGAACTTGATGAAATAGAACCAAAGAAACTTCAGCCTGTTATTATCAATTCATGTTGTTCTACTGCCCAGGCAGAAAAGCCAGAGGCACCAAGCAGCCATCTGCCAAGAAAGGGCACCCACCAGAAAGGCACCGGCAAGACAGCGAAAGGCTCGCGTGCACCGACGGGCAGCGACGGGGGTGTTGATCAGTCCATCCGCGCCAGGGGCCAGGGCCTTTCTCCACTGATTGAAAAAGTTGTTGCATTCTTTCCAAGTTGAGTTTTTGGTTAGAGTTGAGTTTGGCGTGCGACAACAATCTTCCTTGGTGGACAAGATTGACTGGACACACCAAAGCACCGCATCTTCACGTAGGGTGGCCACACCAAGGCAGATCGTTTCTTCCAAACTTCTCTCCGTGCTTAGAATCCGGGGGGTGGAAAGACTACAACTGATCCTTTCACCCAAACGTGCGGGCATACTCCGATCTCATTTGTCAACGGAGCTGCAGGATTTGAGACCAATGAGGTGATATCATAGTTATTGTCAAGAGCACTGGAATTGCAGACAGGATGAGCCATGATTCAGTGTCAGCGCGGAGCACGGGTATCTTCCTGCCGGCAATCCTGCTTTAATTCGAGATCCGTCCTTGGCAAGCTAAGCAGTTCTGGGCTTTGGTTAGGGTTCACACATGAGCCTATTGTTTCATCACTAAGCAGAACTTTGGGAATGGCAATGCCATTGCAAGCAATCAAGGAACACACACACGTGCATGAATCATGCAATTTGAATCAATCTAGTTACAATCAAATCAATCATTTGAACCTCTCTGTTTCCAACACCTTGAATGGAGTTGTCCTGTTCGGCCAGGCGACTGGTGGGGTCTACCCAACCAGGGTGCCGGGCTGCTGGACTTGCAGGATGACCCCCTGAGAGACGAGGCGACGGATTGGCTTGAAATCTCTGTCCTTGCTCCTAGTAGCGATGCCAGGAGCCCCTAGCAGCGATGCCCTTGTTCCTAGTAGCTTCTTGCTCCTAGTAGTACGGCCAGGAGCCCCTAGTAGTGTCCTTGCTCTTAGTAGCGATGCCAGGA